CTAGTGAGTCCAGGGTGTTTTCGTTTGGGTTAAAACTTGTAGTAAGTGAGTCTATAGTCTGTTTTCAGTCCTCAATTCCTATGCCGGCTTGGACGCGGTGATCTCGGCGAACAGACTGATTTTTAAAGTTTTAGAAAACTCCTTATTTTACAAAATATTTCATAACATTCAAATGACTTCCAAAGCCCCAACAATGTTAAGTTATATGTAACCTCATAAATATGAAATGAAATAACTTTGAAATATGAATATTCCGTCAATATATACACATATAAAATTGACTTGACAGAAGAACATATATACACATGGACAGATAGGTCTGGGTATATGTATATATACATATACCTTATATGAGCGTGTGCTTATATATGTCAATGTGTGTGTGGGTGCATCCATCTATCTATCCAAATTATTTATCATCATATCTGAATTATACAATATTAACAAAAAGTTTCCTCTGTACAGAGAATATAAAAAAAGTATTGGCTTTTGTAAAATCAATGAGGTTATATTCCTCATAGAGGGTCAAAACACCTACATGAACTTTTTATTTTTATGATATTCACAGTCATAGTACTCATAAAGCATACTATCATCTGGAGAAAATTAATGAGTTGATACTCAGAGCTAGTGAGAAAAACATTTTGAATAGAATACATTTACCTTTCAAACCTATGTTTGTGTTCAATAAGTAACCTCTGTGGGAATTAAGGCTTGAGGACATTTCTATGCTAAATCTAGAGCACATGTCTTCAATTTTACTAAAATTAGACTAATGACAGACTGGGCATTTTATGGTCCTTTCTAAACATATTAAAGTAATGGAAATATTTGTAGCTCAGGCCACCAAGAAACAGGATCACATTTGAAGGAATGTATCACAAACACAGGGATTTACCAAATATGAAAAAGTATTCAATCCAGTTAACTATACTACAATGCTGAGTATTCAACACAATTACCGCCTGATTTCCAAATCAAAATAAACTTCCTAAATTAAAAAGAAAAGACTGACTTTAGAGTAAGATGAACTAGAATTAAGTTCCAGCATTGCCATGTAATTATGTGGCTTCTGATAGACTAACAACCTCTAAACCTTATTAAAATTGTTTATAAAAATGAAAACACATAAAAAAACACACGACAGTACTGTGGTGAATAATTTACATGACACATGTAAAATACCTAGCACAGTGCCAAGTACATAGTAGGCACTCAATAAATACAAGTTTCTGTTTCCATTGAATGCTCAAACTAACATATATTACGGCATAAAACAAGTGGATGAATATTATGTTATATGTAGAATTATCTGCCTTTAATGCATGAAATTTTATTTATAATTTTTTACTAATAAGATTTTTATATTGCTATTAGCAACTAATTAAAATAATACCAGAAAAAATATATAAAGATTATAAAATAGTTTTGATAAGAATCATTAATATACCACAAAAGTATATAGTTATATGACTTTTACAGCTGTATGATTTTTCTAATATCAGGAAAATTTCAAGCAGAATATCAGCAATATAATGGAAGATATTTAAAATAACTGAAGGAATTCTTAAGAATGCTTTATCAATTATAACATAGCATCTTAACTAAAAATACTTTCTTTTAAGTAGTAAATTATACTTACATGTCTCCAATGTGAAAACTTGCTTTTTATATTAGTTTCAGGCTGATAAAAGAGATCCTTAAAGAAACTGTCTTCGTACCCCTTAGGTAGATAAATCCATTTTTTGTTACTTTCTTTAATAAATTTCTTCTGCTGTTTTTTGCATGAAAAAAAGGGTCTAAATATAAAGAAGGAAAGTTGTCATTGAGGCTTTTCTTTTTTATCAAAGTGAAAGAACTACTTTGAGTTCATTTACATCTTAGATAACCTGGTAAATTTAATGCAATATTATTTTATATTTTACCATATACAACTATTTAAACAACAAGATTTGTTAGCAACACTCACTCAGGGATAAATGAGTGTTGAGAAGTATTTAGTTATATAAATCCACAAATAATTTTGTACTACTCTAAGGACATGCATTTTATAATAGAATGTCAGGGAGAATGTGACCAAATTTATCTATAGAAATGAAAGGTAAGGTGCTGCGTTCAGAAATGAAAGGTAACCAGTATGAGTTCTTTTTTATTTTTCCTCTTCAGTAAAATAACTTTATTTTCTTAGAAAAATTAGTCTAGATAAGTACTAGCCAAAAGAAAATGTCAGCCACAGGTTTAAAATTTTTCTATTAGTAACCCTAAAATATTATTAAATAAATAAATAGGTGAGACTAATTTCTATACTATTTTATTTAACCTTATATTCAATTATTATCTGATAACCAAAGTCAACCAACAAATATAATATTGTACAATAAAATACTAAATGTTTTCCATTTAAGATCAGAACAAGGCTAGGATATCCTCTCTCACTCAACCTCTCCCCCATTTTACTAGATATCTGCTCAATATAATATGAAAATAAATGACAAAACTACAAATCAATCTCACCTTTAAATATGCATATATAATAACCTCTAACTCTGGCATTAAAAGAACTATTAAAAAGACATGCATAATCATACAATTCAGAATATCCAGAAAATCATAATACAAATTTGTATTGGAAAACAAGAAACAAGTATGAATTTTTAGAATTAATAAATCATGCTTACCAACCCATACTTTGTGAGACCATTTGGGATAATAATTTTGGCAGTGATAATGTTAGGTTATCCAGATTCCCTCATGAAAACAGATATAACAACTAAATAGCAAAAAGTTTTTATTATTTATAATAATAATATATGCAAGATATCCTCAGGACAATAAAATATAAAGGAATATACCGATTTACTTCAGATCTCATAAATCTTTCACCTTTTATAATATGTAAAAAATGGCACCCATTACATAAGACCACAGTAGCATTAGCAATTGTACAGGAGGGAACAAATAAAAGGAATAAAGAACCTGATCACTATGAATAAAACAAGTTAAAGGCATTCCCTGAATGGTTTGGGAGAGAAAATTTAATAACAGAATCTGAATTCTATATGGATTTTGCATACTCTAATACTGTGTGAATACAAGGGAAGACTAGTAAAAACTGAAAGGTAGAGAATATTCTGAAGCTATGAACCCCAGAACCTAATAGTCAATGTTTCAATTTAATTCAATGTCCAAACTGAAAACATCTTTTGATGACAAATCAAAAAAAAACAGTAGAAAGAGACAATGGAGAAGACAGAAGGGAATAGATCTCAACATTAATGGAACTGTGCTCCTAAATCAGAGAACCTGAAATGTAAATTGTGGGATTTTTGGAGATTACAACATACATACACACACAGAAATGACTTTGGAACCTGAAGAAAAGTATCTTCTTAAAGTTCAAAATAGCTAATGGCAGGCAATACAAAACAATCACAATCCACTCCCATACAGGTTTTTTTTTTTTTTTTGTAAAATTATGAAAGAGCAAGAAGAAAAATAGCACCCTTTAAATAACAAAAGAAACCCATACAACCAAGCCAACAAAAAAATATGAAAAACTATAATGTATTATTTCACAATAATTTTAAAACCAGTTCTATATAAGAAACTTGACAATTGTCATCATAATCCGAACAAATAAAGAGCTGACCAAATTTAAAAACCAGTGACTCTTCTTGGACTATAGAGAATCAGAACAACCTTTTGTCCCTAAGATTTCAGAGAAAAATAAGCAAATATAATAAAAGTCACCATGGCTTATCTGAGCAGACATTCAAGAGGAAACTAACAACAACCAGTGCCCAGCTTGGAAAATCTGAACCCTAATTGAGAATTTGTTGTCAGCTCACTTACAAGACTGGAAGTTAAAAATTCTGGGGGAACCCAGTGATTAAGGTGGCTGCTAAAATATTGTAAGATTTGCTTTCAAAAGTTTAACCAAGTTTCACAATAAATGTCAGACAAAAAAAAAAAAAAAAAACTTTGCTTTCTGAAGTAAGGAGAAGGGAACCATTTTGAAATATCCCACAGCACTCTGTTCTTAATAAGGCCTGCCCCCAAATGAAGCTAGTAAACCTGACTCTAACCTGTTGGGAAGTTACCAGTACCTAATTGACCTAGCGGAAATCCAAACTACACTGCTAAGGGCCTTTCACATGGAGAAGGAAAGTAACAAACTCACAAGAGTGGAGAATGCTACCCCCAACACACACACCTCAGGACTAAATTCATAAGACCTATTTACTACAGTTCCTTTTATCCAGTACATTATATTCCACTATTAAGAAAACAAAAATACAAGACATATCAAAAGTAATAAAAAAACAAATTTTGAAAGCAATAAAAACACAAATTTTGAAAGCAATATTCAGGAAAAGATGTGGCTAAATATAAGGATATACTATATATTATACTATATAGTTAGAGTATAATATAAGGATATACTATATAATATACTATATGACTATATGACATTTTGGAATAGGCAAAAGTAGAGGTAATAAAAAAAATCACTGATTGTCAGGGACTGGGTAGAGGGCCTAGAGGAGTACAAATTATTTTTTGTGCAATGACTATATACTATATGATGGATTATGCCATTATACATTTGTCCAACCCACAGAATGTAAGAGTGTACTATAACCTATAGATTCTGGATGGTAATGATTCAGTGTCAGTGTCAGTTTGTCAGGTTTTACAAATGTATACTACTTGGTGGAGATGTTTATAATATAATAAGCTATGCATCAGTAAGGACTGAAAGTATGTTAAAAATCTTTCTATACTATGTTTAATTTTGTTGTGTAACTTAAATCACTCTAAAATAAAGTCTTACTTTTATAAAATTAATAAATGGTAAAAGGCATACAAACCACATAAAATAGAAGCACAAATTTAGAAAACCAATGATGAGGCTCTCAAAGAATCAGAAATTTAAAACAATTTCTAGAATAAGTACTAAACTAGAAGAAACATAATTACAATTGTAAAAGAGAATGCCATAAGAGAAACAGAAAATGAATGTAATAAAGATTTAAAAATTAAAAAGAAAAGAATTAGGTCAGGAATTAACATTATAATAACACCAAGTATCTATTAAACAAATTATTTTAATAATGTATCTCCATTCTAAAAACATGAAAAAGAAACCTGCTACATATTTTTAATACTAAATGTTTATTGTTGATAGTACTTACATATAACAATTCTGAAACTATTTTGTGGTTATTTGAATTAAATGAGTAAAATCACTGATAATGTCAGTACCAGAATTGACAGTAAAGAAGAAGGGAAATATGTGAAATGAAGGAAGGCAGAGAAGAGCCCTTTATGTTAGGTTACCTTTAGAGGTGTCACTCTGAATTCATCATGGAAAAGTAGTCCACCTTTTATTCTACCTACTGACATGGAGTTAGAACCATGACACTATAGGAACAGTGAGTGCATCTATTTTTCGATATCTTTGATTGCAAATATGATTCCCCAGTAAAGGGACTAGGGCTCTTGGAAAATAGTTGATTTCAGGGTTATAGATTAAAAAATAGCACCAAATTTGGAATATATTAAATGACTGGACATGATATTTACAGATTTAACATAACAGTCTAAACCCTTTAAAAATGAACACAAATGCCCAACATGTTATAGCTGTCTGACCCTGAATACATATCCTTCCCATGCAAAATGTTTAGAATCTTAAGTTCTACTTATAAATGATCTGCTGTACTGAAATTATGTAAATGGTATAAAAAGATTAAATTATATAAATGGTACTTTATGTGTATTACCCATTCCATATGGTTTTTTCCCTACTTTTCCCATTCTTTTACATTTTAGAACCAAAAATTTGACCAATGACCTCACTATACCTTCCACTGCTTAGGTTTAGGAGGTTGCTAATCTGATCACAATATTTCATTCAGAAAATAAATATGCACTACCCTTGTATGTTATCATTCATTAAGTGACAGTGAGAAACTAAAAGATGAATTAATCGTAATTTTCTAAAATTATCAAGTTTGTATATGTCAGCAATTTAAGTAAGCACATTTCAAGTAAGGTGTAAAATATTTGGATCTGGAGAGACATTACTCAGGATTAGAAATAGAAATATGAGAGAGCTGCTCACTAGGATCTTTAGGCTGTGGGAATAGTCAGGCACTTCTGAGGACAGTGTAGTATGTTAGTTCTGATTTTCCTTTCCCATAAGTAAATCCAGAAATATTTTTTCTGATTCTGATTTCCATTTATTGGTGTACATATCAATTCAGGAAATACTTTTTGAACACCTAACATATATCAAGTATTCTATTAAATAGAGAAACTGTGTGCAGTTTATCTGGAGCCATAGATGACTATACAGACAACTGCAATACAATATGGTAAATGCTTATGAAAATAAAATATATGATATACTTTTAGGGGCAAATATTTCCTTTTTTTCCTTAACAAATTGGGAACCACTAGAGAATATTAAGTTGGTGAAAAAAATTAGATTTGTATTTTTGAAAGATCACTCAGCATCTACAATAAATATATTAATACTTAGGAGCAGGAAATTCAAGGAAAGAATTAGTTAAACAACAACAATAAAATAATTATTTTTAAAACATAAAGCATATAATAAGAAGGTCATACCCACATTTGCCAAGTGCCATGGCCCTTTATATTCATCTCAACTCCTATAAACATGAAATATTAGCACCTGCTCATAGCATTTTAACACATAAGAACACTCAGGTTCAGAGTAGTCAAGTAATACACTTAATAGAACAGCACTTTAACAAGAAGAAGAACTCAAGTCAATCTCTCTGGAACCACTATGGCATACTATTATTACAGATATCATTACTGAACTCTACACAGAGTACATTCAAATTCTGCGCATGAATGCTGAATTTAGAGATTGTTCCAGGCACAAGCTTTTAACTCTTGTGTTGCATGAGTGTTAGAGAAAACCTTGATTCTAAGAGAGAAAAACTCAATCCTAATCCTAATTAAAAATTAATTTCTAATTAAATTCCCTTTAATTAAACATTTATTTCATATAAGTACATACAAACTTGAAATGGGACAAACAAAACAGAAATAAACAGAAGCTATTGCCTGATTCTTACACATATGTTTTACTCCAAATCATTTAAGGATCCCCATTGGTGAGCCCACTCAGTATCTTGGTTTGAACTTGGTTATGAAATCTCTCAAAAGTTATAAGCAATACATTTGGTTTGCTTTGCTGTTTGTCCTCAAATCTTTATCAGAATTATTGCCATGTACAGCTAGCACATCCTGACTAATGTAGGAGATCATTTTCTCTGCCTTACTATACAATGGTAACTATCATTTCAGGGAAACTTCCTTATTTTGCCTTCTCAAGAAATGACCATGACTCACTGTACATTTATTTTAATTCTACTTCTATTTCAAGACCAAATTTTATTTCTATCATCTGAACTCCAGCAATAATCTGAGATTAAAATAAAGACTTTCATTTTTTTCATAGCTGATGTTTGTTATGAATAATGCAAATGAACTGATGACAGATTATTACATCTGAGCTCCCCAAGTAAAATATTAAAGGATTCTAGCAAGAAGAGTTTTCCTTCAGCTTGCAAATGTAAGGTACAAGAAGTAATGCAAGGAACAAAGAGAGAAGAAAAGATAATTAACCAAAATTTAAGATAGATTAAAGTAACAGCAGCTATTTTAGCACAAATTATGTCTACATCCAAACAAAATAGAAATATAATAAATACAAGTGCAATTTTTTTTTTAAATTTCAAATTTTGATTAGGCTAAATAGTATATTACTAAAGTCTGACACTTTCTTTGAAACTGGTTGAAATGGTCCATAAAACATCATTTCGATATAGAACAGAAAATGTGTATTATTGGGCAATTGCCTTTTGCCACTGATTTTCATGGCATCTTATTTTAATATACAAATGGTAAAAGAAAATGAGACCTACCTCAAATGTTTTCTAACTAAAAAGCCACGTGTCCATCTTTGAACAATCAAGACTGGTGAATTATGAGCCAAAATTGTATTAATTTTTGCAATAATATATCTAACATCATTAAATTCAGTCTCATAGGTTGATCCCTGAAAAAGAAAATATATTTAATATTTTTATTTCATTAAAGTATTTCCAAAAGACATTTTAAACTTGGCGTTCTAAAGGCATTAATTATTTAAATGTTTAGAACTATCTTATAGGAACAACAGTTAAATGTTTTCATATCTATTTTCATGTTGACTTTCATAATTTTAGAAGATCAATAATTAGTTTTACCAAATAATTTCAATTCTATATACAACATGCAAAGTCCATAATGGTAACTCTCCATTCTAGATGCTTCTGTAAGCTAACTGTATAAATCATGTTGATTTCTGAAAAATAGTATCATGGAGAGGACCTAAAGAACTGTAAGTATCTTGTGAATCCACACAAAGAAAACTGATATAGTGCATTTTGCAGTCACTTGAGAAGAATAGTTTGGGTTTCTGATATGACTCATGAGAGAGAGCAAATTTGTTTTCTAACAGAAAATGTGTTTTTAAAAAGGGTAGTTTAGGGCCCTTCCTGGTGGTGCAGCACTACAAAGCTATCACAGCCACTGCAGCCAGGGTTCAATCCCAGGCCAAGGAGGTAATCTACATGGCACTGCAGTTTTTCTCAGTACATCTGCCTGTTCTGTTCCCCACTCTATTTCTGGTGAATCCTCTCACCCCTTGCACTTCTGGCCTGTACCCCAGTTCTATACACATACATAAATAAATCTTTTAAAAAGGGTACTTTAGTATTTAGCTAAAACTAAAATACTGTTCAGAATATATGTGTGTGTGTATATATATATATGTAACTAGATACAATTAGTACAATTAATTTGATATTCTAAATGTATTTTAATTGATATAGTTTTCTGTCCTTTCCTATTCCTATGTTTTTACTTCTTTATGTATCTGGTCCTGAGAGTATATTTTTTTCTGTCCCAACTGGGAAGTTTTTTTCAACACAATTTCCTAATTTGGTGCAATTTATCTCATCATATTTGAAACAGGTAAATTATAATAATCCCACAAGTCTTTAGTACAAATAGAGTAAACTCACTATAGTCATTTTAATAGTCTGATAAAATGGTGAGAATCTGTGTGAAACTCCTCACACTAACTACAAAGACTATTATTTTATTCCTAATAAATACTTTGCAGACACAAAATAGTCAATTCTCAAGCTTAAGAAAAAAATTCACCAAAATCCAGCACCATTAAAAATCAAAAATATAGGGGCTACCCTGATGACACAAGGATAAGTCTCAGCACTATGAAGTTAACTGGACCCACTAAAGCATGATGCAGGCAAGGGAGCTGACCCATATGGCACAGCAGACTTCTCCTGTCTTAACTGCAGCTCCCCTCCCCAGTGTATTCCAGTAGATCTGCCTGTTCCACTCCCCACTCTATCTTTGGTGAACCCTCTCACCCTCCAACCCCACAACTCTGACCTATACCCCAGCTCTTGGAAGCATAAATAAAATAATTATTTTTAATTAAAATCTAGAAAAATAATAATATAACAGTGTACAAATATATAAAAGCAAACAAAACCCTACTGAAACTTTCCCCACTAAAATTAACTATTATCTTTTAAAAATGTTCATTTCAGTCCTTTCCCCAACTCTGTAGCTTTCATTTTCAATGCTTAATAAAGTCTTTTACTAAGAGACTTTTTTTTTTTTAAAAGATTTATTTATTTATGCATACAGAGCTGGGGTACAGGCCAGAGGCTCGGGGCGGTGAGAGGCTTCACCAGCGACAGAGTGGGGAGCAGAACAGGCAGATTGACGAAGTACACTGCTGAGGGGAGCAGCGGGCGGGTCAAGAGAGGTCTGCCACACCATGTGGTCACCTCCGGGGCAGATGGGAATCGAACTCATGCGGAAGTGGCTTTAGCTTCTCAGTGCAGTGCTTTAACCCGCTGCGCCACCAGGGAGGGCCATTACTAAGAGACTTATAAAATATTTATGTATTTTTTTCTTTTAAAGATTGTGCTTTTTGGTCAAGTCTAAGAATATTTCCTTCAGTTTTTCTTTTAAGTTTTATAGTTTTAAATTTTTTCATTTAATTCTGTATTCCATTATCTATAAGTTTTTGTTTGTGGCAAGATAAATACACAACACTCTATTGGTTCCAACATATATTTTCTCACTTCAACAACTGCATAGACTCACAATGCCCACCACCAAAAATCCAGGCAGCATTCATCAACAACTAATCTAACCCTTCTACCCATTCTCCTTCCATTCCTTACCCACTGGTAACTATCTTAAGTTATCCAAGTCTCAGGGTTTGTCTTCTTTTCTGTTTTGTTTGTTCCTTTTATTTATATTACATAATGAGTGAATTTCTAACTCCTTTATTCTAAAGTATTTCACGTAGCATAAATTTCCTCAAGGTCCATCCATGTTCTCACAAATGGCAAGGTTTTATCCTTTTTTAGGACCAACTGGTATTCCATTGTTTATCTATAATATATCTTCTTTATCTATCCATCCACTGTTAAGCATGTGGGATGTTTCCACATTTTAGATACTGTAAATTGTGCTGTAATAAATAGCATGTTCACTAATACACACCCTCTCAGATGTTATCACTGTTCAAATAATTTTCTATTATTCATCAATTTTCAAAGTATGTATATTTACAGATTTATATACATTTAGAACATACTATAAATGCTGTTCTGCAACATAATTTTTACTTCCCACCCATATCTTGTACCAGATTTTCTAAGAGGTTCATTATTAACTTCTACTTTTGAATTCTCATATGGTTTATTTCCTCTAATATTGATATATCATGATATATTTTCTTACAATCTTATATACCCATTCAAGTATTTTGTAGCCCACAAGTATGTATCATTTTCCAATCATTTCTTTCAATATTTAAAAATATTAAAATAAAGATTTGAATATACCACACAATTGCACTTTTGAAATCACAAAATTGCTTAGGATTTTATTATTTTATTATTTTCCATTCCATTAATAATCCAAATTGTCCACTCAGACATTAAAAAATTTCCAATGGAATTGTTAGAGAATTTAAAAAAAACTGAGACCTACTTTCAAGTAACAAAATATCAAAATCTTGATTCTATAAATATTATATGCTTACTAATTTTTATATATTAGCTTTTATAAATTTTCAGATATATTACTAATTTATTTCCTGATATTTTATATTTCCTGAATATTTTATATAAGTGAAAGAAAATATTAAGGTTTAGAATTTAAAAAGTAAAATTTTACTTCCATAAACTTCACATAAAATTAAACCTTAATGAAGCCAATTACCTTTTTCAAAGCAGGGCAAAAATTAAAGTAAAGTCGGTGATTACATGTTCTGAATCTTTCAGGAAGGTGCCAGTTCTGAATTATTTCTTCATCAGAAATCACATGATTATCTAGTGCTTTAAGAGACCATATGCTGTTAACAAGAACATGTCTATATCCTTTTTTAAGGCTTACTGGACAATCAAACATCGTGAGGGCAATGAGGTTTGGACAGGCAGATAATGTACATATGTTCTTTAACTTTACAAATCCATTGTCATGAAGATAGAGGAGTTTTAAATTCTTAAGTCGACTCCAAAATTTGGTATCTGGTAGACTCTTTATCTGAAATATCAATCACAGTAATAATACTTTAAGTTCAACTATTTCCTAAAAAATGAGTGTAAAACAGAGTATCTAAATATCTTCTAAAATTCAGTTTTTCCCAACAGGGGAATTTCTCGTTAATAAGTAAAAGGAGAATTTCTAATTATCCAAGTGATTACTGGGGCAAAGACAGAGTAACTTTTGTCATTATAAGTACAATAAAGTGAACAAACATATGTTTGTTCAGCAAAAAATGTCTTTTTAATCAGTTGATTTTTTAAACTTTCTAAAATATTTTTCTTACATAAAGAAATCAATGTTATATGTAATATCAATCAAATATAACTATAATATTATTATCTCAATGAGAAAAAATTTGACAAAATTTGATATTCTTTCATTATAAAAAATTTTAATAAACTTGGTAGAGAAAAAATATTCCTAAACAAAATATATGGCATATATGAAAGCTCCCACCTAACATCATATTCAATCGTGAAAAGCTAAAAGCTTTCCCTCCAAGCTTACCCACCTCACTACATCTATTATTTACTGCCAGTTTTAACCAGAACAAACAGGCAAGAAAAAGAAATAGAAGTCATAGAAATCAGAAAGGAAGTAGTAAAACTGTCATCAATTACAAGTGACACCTGTTGCTATTAATAAATAAGGTGTATAAGTGCAAGCTACAATAACAACATATAAATTTCTGTTGCATTTCTATATCTAATAGCTATCATAAAGCCAAATTAAGAAAACAGTGCCAGCTGCATATATGAAAAAATATCAAATAAAATTAACCAAGAGAGTAAGAGATCAGAAGAAGATTAAAAGAAACTGAAGAATACACAAAGAAATGGAAAGACATTCCATAATCATGGATTTGAAGAAATAATGTTAAAATATATATACCACAAAAGCAATTTAAAGATTCAATACAATTTCTAACAAAATTCCTCTAATATTTTTCACAAAAAATAGAACAATTTTAAAATCACAAAATATCCAGAGTAGTTAAAACAATATCACAAAAGACCAATACCAGGACAATCAGATTTCCTGATTTCCATCTCTATTACAAAACCATAGTAATCAAAATAGTATGGCATTAGCATGAAACAAAAACCATTTCAATGGAACACAATGAAGTATACAGAAATTATCCCACAAATATTTTCAATTAATTTATGGCAAAGGAACCAGAATATACAATCCAAAAAGAATAATTTCTTCCATAAAATGCACTGGGAAACTATGACAAACACATGCAAAACAATGAACTGGAGAGTGACCTCATCCTAGACATCAGTTTTAAACATCACTTTTTGGATATGACAACAAAAGAGAAAAGCAACATAAGCAAAAACCAGTAAGACACACAAATTTAAAGGCTTTTGTAAGTCAAAGAAAAAAAAAACTAACAAAATGAAAAGGTAACCTACAGAATGGGGGAAAAATATGTGCATATCATATATCCAATGAGAATATTCAAAATAAATGGAGAATTCATATTACTCAATAGCAAGAAAATAAAACAATTAAAAATGGGCAGAGAATCTAAGTAGCATTTTTGCAAACAAAACACTGAAATAGCCAGCAGGTACATACAAAGGTGCTCAAAATCACAAGTCAGGTCAATTCAAATCAAAACCAGAATGAGATATTGCTTATACCCATCAATATAGCTATCCTCAGAAAGATAAGAGATAACAGTGCAGGGAAAAAATGACAAAAAAAGGAAATCCATGGTATTTGCTGGTAAAAAAAAAAAAATTGGAGCTGCCACATTGAAAAATAGTAGTGAGTTTTCACAAAAAAATTGAAAAAAGAACTACTAGATGATCCTGCAATTCTACCTCTGGTTATTTGTACTAAGCAAGTATATACATTAATTCAAAAAAGATAAATACAGCCCAGACTCACTGTTGTATTATTTACAACATGCTAAAACATGGAGAAAGTGTTCATTGATGGATAAATGGATAGAAAATGCCTTAGCAAATACACACATACCCACACACACACACATAATACTGGAATATTACTCATCCTTAAAGAATTTTTTTTCTTTATTTGCAACAACATAGGTAGAACTTAAATGTATATTATACTAAGTGAAATAAGTCAAGGGCATATGTCAGATAATCTTTCATCTGTACAATCTCAAAATATCAAATTCTAACAAACTCATAAATAGTGAACAGCTTTCTGATTGTGAGACATATGGTAGAAGTATATATAAATGTTCAAAAGATAGAAAATTCCAGTTATAAAATAAGTAAGACTTGATAATATAATCTATAGTAAGGTGAATTTGAAAGTTGCTAGGTTCTTAAAGTTCTCATCATAAGGAGATACAAACTCATTTTGATGGACGTCACTTAAAAATACTGTAATATATACAAATACCAAATTATTATGCTGTATACCTGAAATGAATATACACCAAGTACATGTCATTTAAAAAAGAATTAAGGAGTCACAACATATTCTTATTAATGTAAAAACTATTAATAAAAAGTAAAATAAACCAAGTCACTCAATGTTTATAATTTTTTATTTAAAATTTTTGCTTATTTTTAAAACTTCATGTTTACATATTTAATATTTTCATTTATTTTTTAAAACTTTGTTTATATGTTAGGTAAAAGGCTATTTGGAAAAATATAGTGAATTAATCATATAAGCACTTATTAAATTTTAATTCTATTTAGATGCAAATATCTATGATACCTATTGCTTACCTGATTTCCATGGAGATCAAGCTTTATCAATTTTATACAACTTTGCAGTGGGTGAATATCTGTAATAAAATTGTTTGAGAAGATACATATTCTAAGAGATACAAAAGATTGCAAATTTTCCATAGATTTTAAGTGAAGGCCATTGAACTTCACAAAAACGAAATCTTTCTGATCTTCTACAATGTTTTCATTATAATGACGCCATTCTTCATGACTGGTTAGCTCCTTTGTGATTGTTCCATGAAACATCTAGAAAAATAAGAACTTACTTTCAGTAATTTTTTAATATCAAAAAAGGCTCTGTGAAAATAATATATTTGCTAATATGTATTCAGAATAAACAAGGTGAAAAGTTAATATTAAAAAATCTAATTGGCCCTCCCTGGTGGCGCAGCGGGTTAAAGCACTGCACTGAGAATCTAAAGCCACTTCCGCATGCGTTGGATCCCGGCCTGCCCGGGAGGAGATCCACATGGCGAGGCAGACCTCTCCTGACCCGCCCGCTGCTCCCCTCAGCAGTGTACTTCGTAGATCTGCCTGTTCTGCTCCCCACTCTGTCTCTGGTGAAGCCTCTCACCGCCCCTGAACCTCTGGCCTGTACCTCAGTTCTGTATGCACAAATAAATAAATCTTTAAAAAAATTTAAAAAAAAAATCTAATTGTGGCCCTCCATGGTGGTTCAGTGGGTTAAAGCACAGCACTAAGAAGCTAAAGTCACTTCAGCATGAGCTTGATGCCTGCCCCAGAGTTGACCAACATGGGGGGCAGACCTCTCCTAACCGGCCCACTGCTCTCCTCAGCAGTATACTTGGTCAGTGGGCCTGTTCTGCTCCCCAATCTGCCTCTGGAAAATCCTCTCACCACCCCTACACCTCTGGCCTGTACTCCAGTTCTGTATGTATAAATAAATAAACCTTAAAAAAATCTTCTTTAATTAAAAAGAATCTAATTGTCATAAAACTTCTAAGATCACCTCAAACGTTTAAACATTACATAATTGCAACTGAACACTGTTATTACTGTTCTCATCAATTAACTAATCAGTAAGAAAAAGACAAACTTCCTTTTTCTAATACTTATAGATCACAGAGTTAGTGAAATAGCTGAGATAAAAATATAGGCGCCAGGCAAGTTGACTAAAACAAACAAACAAAAGAATACCTTATCATAGCTTCCATACTAAGTCTGGTTAAAAGAAAACTTAAAGAAGTGCATTGAATGATGAACCCCCACGTCAGAAGAGTAGTAACTTTTGAGAGAATTGCAGCTTGATGATATAAAGGTACAATCAGGACTTCAACTGCTATAAATATTTGATTTTAAAAGATATTTGAATTCACAATATTTTTATAGACATTTAAGATCTAGAACTCTTTTAGTTCAAATTTTCTCTAGAACATCTGAATCAGTTTTTCACATACTTTTATACAGTATTTTCACAAATATGAAGCTTCTTTTATTGTGGGTAATTTCAACTTTCAGACAAGACAGTTAACCCAGTATTTGTTTAGAAGACAATGTATGAGCTCAACTGGTGGGACGATCTACCGTTTCCATTGGAAAAATCTCTTTCTACAAAGTAGAGGTATCCTAGGATGTGGCACAATCCAAATGACTAAAAAAGGGCAAAAATTTCAGATAAACCTTCACATTATTTCATTAGTTTGGCTACTTTTAGAAAACTCTGACCAAACTTTAACATTATAATCTAATCCTCAAATCAAAGTAGAATCTAAAGAATTAATCAAAAGCAGATCCCCAAATGCCACATTATTCCTATAGTATTGGTCTATGGGCTGAGGGTCCAGGATCTGTAATTGAGTATGCACCTTGATAGTCTTCAGAACATAAAGTCAGATGTGGAAAAATATACATATAGATACAACTATTACAAACTTATTGAGCTGTACAGGTCCTAAAATGAAATTAAATTTGCACAATGCATTCCAACCATTTAAACTCCCTCTTCAGAAAAGAATTTCAGGAGTCTTTACTCACGCTCTTCTTTCAAAGGCCTAACTTTTATATTTGGCTTGAATATATGCTAATTTCAGTTTATGACCAAAGTTTATAGTATAAAAGTCAAGATGTTTCAAGATGTGACACTCAAAAGTATCAGCTATAGAATTCAATTATTGAGGTCAATAGCAATTCTGAAAGAAATCTACAGTCACATAAATAATGTATCAAAATACCTGAGAAAAAAACTGAGAGATATGAGAATATGTGAATTCACTATTATAGTTGTAGACTTCAATATCCCTCCATCAGAAATAGCTATGTCCAGCAGACACACACACACACACACACAAATCAATAAGGACATAATTTAACTGCATAGCACCATCAATCAATTGGATAATTGATATCTATTTACTTCTTGCTCCAACAGCAGCTAATTACACATTCTTCTCAAATTTAGATGGAATATTAGCAAGATAGACCAAATGATGGGTCAAAAATATAATTTTAACAAATTTAGAAGAATAAAAATTGTACATGTAATTTCTGAGATTACAATTAAAGGAGACAATAATAATTGAAAGAAAGATAGAAAATTCCAAAATATGTGGAGATTAAATATAACTCCAAATAGTACATGGTTCAAGGAAAAAGATTAAAAACATTTTAAAACATTTTAAACTAAATGAAAATGTACCTTATTAGAATTTGTAAGATACAGTGCAAGTAGTATATAATGTAAATTTATAATATATGTCTGTATTAGAAAAGATCTAAAATAAAGAATCTGAACTTGATTGGAAACTAAAGAAAACCTAATTAAATCCTAAGCAAAAAGAAGAAAAGTTAATCAGTAAAAAGACAATGAGTACAGTTTCAAAAATTATAATTCTTGATTATATTATCAAATTTTGAAGGGTAGAAGTATATTTTGTAATAATCTCATCCAGGGAGTCTCTATAAATATCTACAGGTCAGTAGCAATTCTGAAAGAAATCTATAGTCATATAAACAATGTACCAAAATACCTGAGAAAAAAACTGAGAGATATGGGAATATGTGAATTCCCATATTAAATATTAAATATTTTCAACATATATTAATAATCTTGTATAATTTTCAAGTGAGTTTCCTTTATAATGTTATAATAAAACTAACTTTTACCTTGTCTTTCAGATCTTTACTGACGAGGGTGTATTGGGGTTACATAAGGAAATGTATCCAGATACTCTATGTGGTTTGTTTTGTAAGAAGCTTACTTCAGAGTATAACTCTTCCTTATATTTTGTGTCACTGTGAATTAACTTAATGCTTTAATACTGAATCTTATCCTGTGTGCTTGAAAATATAACTTGAGTTCATGTTAACTGATTTTGTTTTATATATTTTAATTTTTAAATCATTCCAATTGAATTTTCAGTGTAATATGAATTCTAGAATAAGTTTAATAATCTTAAAATCAGTAATTCTCATACATAAATTACTTTATATTCATGTTCTCTGTAGCAATAGTACTGACCATCAACAGAATGCATTGGAGCTGACCTACATGGCACAGCAGACCTCTCCTGACCTGCCGTCAGCCTGTTCTGCTCCCCCCTCTGTCTCTGGTGAATCCTCTCACTGCCCCTGCAAGTCTGGCCTATACCACAGCTCTGTATTCTATTTCTAAATATTTAAAGATAAATAACAAATAAATAAATTGCCCACCAAGGGCAAGCTAAACAACAATGCAATTGATAACTTCTCTTCTGCTTACAAGGTGGGTTACCCACTATGGAAAAGTGTTTGGAGGTTTCTCAAACTGCTAAAAATGGAGCTTCAATATGACCCAGAATTCCACTCCTAGGTATCTATCCCAAAAACACAAAAACAGTGATTTAAAGCCACGCATGCACCACCATGTTTATTGCTGCTTTATTTACTATAGGAAAGAAATGGAATCAACCCAAATGCCCAAAAGTAGATGACTAGGTTAAAAAGGTGCAGTACATATACACAATGGAATATAACTCAGCAATCAAAAAAGATAAAGACATGCCTTTTGCAGCAATGTGGATGGAGCTGGAAGGGTTGATGCTTAGTGAAATAAGCCAGAAAGAAAAAAATATCAGATGGTTTTGGTCATAGCAGGAGCATAAAGGACCAGGGGAAAAGTAACAATAATAATGAACAACAATATACCAGAGACATTTTATGGGGGTGGAGTGGGATCAAAAAAGGGGGCAAGGGAAGTACACTGGACTATAGTGATGGAACAAGGGTGATTTGGTGGTGGGAAGCCCACCAGGATTAAAACTGAGATGGAAAAAGGCACAAAATGATGTAACAATAAACTATTATGTTATTTAAAAAAAAACTTGTGGTTACCAAATGCTTCCAGTTTCCAATATAACCATTAAGGAGGAAACCACCTACTTCTTATTCCTTTTACACTTGCAAAATTTCATAAATACTTCGTGAAATGTATATACAAATGTGTATATTGTCAAGTTCAAATACTAATGTAGTGTTCAAAAGACAAATTTAGTTTAAGTACAGCAACACATTAAAGAAAGTATCAGGCCACCAATTATAGTTTCAAAGTAAAAAGCAATCAGTATCATTGACAGTTAAGCCTTTCATTAGTTTGTGTTGACTGAAGTGCTAATTTAAAAATTATCATATATATTGTAATCACAGCATAAGAACCATGTTTTTATAAAATACAATGTACATCAATAGTTAAGTCTCATCTGTTCCCCAATTTTTCCATTAAAAAAATAATGGTGGCAAAACATGAAGGGGAATTATGCAAGTTATAATTAGTGAATACTGAAATCAAATACTGAAGTAAAAAGAAAACCTTTATTCTGTGTACTTCTTTCCTTTTCAAATGTCTGTATGAATTTAAAAGAAATTTTCAAAGAATGCTTTTTCATTGTGTCAGTGATCTCTGGACTCAATGACTAGAGATTCACTCAATGCCTCTCTAGAATCAGTATCATTCATTGCAATTTTAGGTACCTTTATATTCTTCAACATTTCTCCACCCTACCTCCTGAATTTTAGGAATTCAGATACATTATTATAAGTTAAAAAGAGAATGTATTAAAAGCACATACTAAGTAAGAAGGTCTATAGCACAGTAACTTATTGTAAGTATTAGTTATGACATTATTAACTAAATGGAGAACAGGACACTGAACTCCAGAATTATGGAAAGACAGCAATTACATAGGGATGGTTGGAAGGAATCAAGTTAATATTCTTATTTTAAGATACCATACCACCTAGGGAAAAGTTCA